ACAAAGTCCACTCCCAAATATCTGAATACGTTCACCTCCTCCATAACTCCCCTCCCTCCAATCTGATATTCAATCTTTCATCACCTAATCTTTTTGTTATCCTCATAACCTTACTCTTTCCTGTATTTCCACTTTAATTTTTTTTTTTGCACACCCCTACCAAATTCATCCCAATCTCTGCAACTTCTCTTCAGAATCTCCCAAGAGAACAGTGGTCATCAGCAAAGAGCAGCTGTGACAACTCCCATTTTGTGTTGTGATTCTTTATCTTTTAACTCCACGCCTCTTGCCAAGACCCTCGCATTTACTTCTCTTACAACCCCATCTATAAATATATTAACAACCACGGTGACATCACACATCCTTGTCTAAGGGAAACTTTTACTGGGAAAAAATTTCCTCTTTCCTACATACTCTAACTTGAGCCTCACTATCCTCGTAAAAACTCTTCACTGCTTTCAGTACCTACCTCCTACACCATACACTTGCAACATCTGCCACATTGCCCCCCTATCCACCCTGTCTTTAAGCCTTTTCCAATCCAAAAATGCCACAAAGACCTCTTTAGCCTTATTCTAATACTGTTCACTTATATGTTTCACTGTAAAACCTGGGTCCACACACCCCCTACCTTTCCTAAAGCCTCCTTGTTCATCTGCTATCCTATTCTCCGTCTTACTCTTAATTCTTTCAATTATAACTCTACCAACACTTTACCAGGTACACTCAACAGACTTATCCCCTATAATTTTTGCACTCTCTTTTTTTCCCCTTTGCCTTTATACAAAGGAACTATGCATGCTCTCTGCCAATCCCTAGGTACCTTACCCTCTCCAACATTTATTAAATAATTGCACCAACCCCTCCAAACATATCCCCACCTGCTTTTAACATTTCTATCTTTATCCCATCATCCCGGCTGCCTTACCCCCTTTCATTTTACCTACTGCCTCACGAACTTCCCCCACACTCACACGGGCTCTTCCTCACTCCTACAAGATGTTATTCCTCCTTGCCCTATACACGAAATCACAGCTTCCCTATCTTCATCAACATTTAACAATTCCTCAAAAAATTCCTTCCATCTTCCCAATACCTCTAACTCTCCATTTAATAACTCTCCTCTCCTATTTTTAACTGACAAATCCATTTGTTCTCTAGCTTTCTTAACTTTTTTAATCTCACTCCAAAACTTTTTCTTATTTTCAACAAAATTTGTTGAAAACATCTCACCCCTCTCATTTGCTCTCTTTTTACATTGCTTCACCACTCTCTTAACTTCTCTCTTTTTCCCCATATATCTTCCCTCCTTGCCATCACTTCCTACTTTGTAAAAACTTCTCATATGCTAATTTTTTTCCTCCCTTACTACTCTTTTTACATCATCATTCCACCAATCGCTCCTCTTCCTCCTGCACCCACTTTCCTGTAACCACAAACTTCTGCTAAAACACTCTAACACTACTTTTTAAACCTACCCCATACCTCTTCGACCCCATTGCCTATGCTCTCATTAGCCCATCTATCCTCCAATAGCTGTTTATACTTACCCTAACTGCCTCCTCTTTTAGTTTATAAACCTTCACCTTCTTTTCCCCTGATGCTTCTATTCTCCTTGTATCCCATCTACCTTTTACTCTCAGTGTAGCTACAACTAGAAAGTGATCTGATATATCGTGGCCCCTCTATAAACATGTACATCCTGAAGTCTACTCAACAGTCTTTTATCTACCAATACATAATCCAACAAACTACTGTCATTTCGCCCTACATCATATCGTGTATACTTATTTATCCTCTTTTTCCTTAAAATATGTTTTACCTATAACTAAACCCCTTTCTATACAAAGTTCAATCAAAGGGTTTCCCATTATCATTTTACACCTGGGAAACCCCCAAACTTACCTACCACACCCTCTCTAAAAGTTTCTCCTACTTTAGCATTCAAGTCCCCTCCACAATTACTCTCTCACTTGGTTCAAAGGTCCTATACATTCACTTAAAAATCTCCCAAAATCTCTCTCTCTCCTCTGCATTCCTCTCTTCTCCAGGTGCATACACGCTTTATTTTGACCCACTTCTCGCATCCAACCTTACTTTAATCCACATAATTCTTTAATTTCACATTCTATTCTCTTTTCTCCTTCCATAACGATCATTTAACATTACTGCTACCCCTTCCTTTGCTCTACTCTCTCAGATACTCCAGATTTAATCCATTTATTTCCCCCCCCTGAAACTCTCCTACCCCCTTCAGCTTTGTTTCGCTTTTGGGCCAGGACATCCAACTTCTTTTCATTCATAACATCAGCAATCATCTGTTTCTTGTCATCCGCACTACATCCACGCACATTTAAGCAACCAAGTTTTATAAAGTTTTTCTTCTTCTCTTTTTTGTTTAAATTTTATACAGGAGAAGGGGTTACTAGCCATTGCTCCGGCATTTTAGTCGCCCCATACGACACGCATGGGTTACGGAGGAAAGATTCTTTTCCACTTCCCCATGGACAATAGAAGAAATAAAAAAGAACAAGAGCTATTTAGAAAAAGGAGAAAAACCTAGATGTATGTATATATATATATGCATGTGCGTGTCTGTGAAGTGTGACCAAAGTGTAAGTAGGAGTAGCAAGATATCCCTGTTATCTTAGCGTGTTTATGAGACAGAAAAAGAAACCAGCAATCCTACCATCATGCAAAACAGTTACAGGTTTTTGTTTCACAGTCATCTGGCAGGACGGTAGTACTTCCCTGGGTGGTTGCTGTCTACCAACCTACTACCAGACATGCATGAAAGTCACAATTCAAATGATGCTTTGAACTGCAACATCTCTACTCATCCTACAAAATGCAAGCATTGAATCTAATGACCTTGGAGGAGAGGACCAGGAGAGATACAGAACCAACATATAAAATACTCCGAGGAGTTGACAGGGAAGACAGGGACAGACTGTTTGAGAGGTGGGAAACAGGTACTTTGGGATACACAATTGGTAGTTAAAGACACAGATGAGTCATAGGTGCGTCAGGAAGTTTCTCTCCAATCTCAGAGTGATCGGGAAGTGGAATGACCCTGACAGAGAGGTGGTGGAAGCAGACTCCATACATAGTTTTAAGAGTAGGTACTATAGGTCCCATGAGGCTAGGAGAGAAGGAATCTTGCAATTGGCAAGTTGAGAGGCAGGTCCAAGAACTTGGCCCCAGCAGCCACTTATAGGCAAATACATATAGGTGAGTACTCTTCTTTCAAGTCCTCCAAAACTTTAGAACAAATTCTCTATGTTTATACACTTATATTTTGAAGAACTGCTGTACTGCAAAAGTAAAAAAAAAAAAAAAAACAGTGTAATGCATTGAACAGGACATGACATAGTTTAAAGTCTACTGCTGTGAATGGGTTATGATAGCATATTTATTGCTTATTTAATTTATCTTTATTTAGAATTCTTGATGGATATTTTTAATAAGCAGTAATTTAGGTTATTGATTCCTTAGGAGAACACAGTTTGATGTCAAGACAGTAATTATTTTAAGAATGCTACCCTATTGCTTGCCTCTCCACAGGACTCGGTAACTACAGTACCATCTGGTGCAAGTAGCTTTCACTGTATGAAATGAAATGTAGATAACATTGTAAATGCTATTTTTAAACAGCCACAATAAAAGGGATAAAATTATGAAAGGGAATTTCATGAGACTGGTTTGAAATTGTATTTCTGTTCTTGACGTTATCTATAGAACATACAAGTATATCCTCCTTACTCATATATCCATTTGGAAGAGGTACGCTATTAATATTTAATGGAATGAGTAATATAGGGTATCTGGAAGTGATGTAGTCAGTTGAGCTTATGATATAAATTATTGTATTCTCTACACTTTTTAAATGAAGTAGAAGAGGAGCTTGAGGACATTTTATGAAGAACTTGTCTTGTATACCTTTCCCCTCACATTCAGAGTAAGGTTGCACTTGCAAGATCTTGTGTGAACGTTTATAATCCCCACAACTAAAAGTGTGTGAGAATTAGTGGCAACACTACACAAACTTGCTGAAGTGCTCTCCTTAATAATTTGACCATTCTGTAAATGAAGCACTATCATATGATCATCTCATCATATCATATTCATTTCTTAATATATCACTTTTACCATCATAATCACCATCATCATAATCATCACCACCACCACCACTCACCACCCACCATCACCACCAAAATCAAAATCACCATCAAAATCACCACCACCTCCATAATAATCATCATCAGTCCTCCTCTTCCTCCTCTCATTACTCAAGATCCTCAATAAAAGCCATGGAGTTCTCTTTGCTCTCTATAAAACCAAATAAAAATATTGGTAGTTAGGGTGCATCACTTTGAGACATTTGACTCGTGACATGATTTTTCTCATTTTTATTGTGGCTGCCTTTATTTTTCACGAAATACTTTGCAGTCTGTAATCTAATACCGATGTGTCACTTGTTATATCATTAGTTAATAAAAGTGACCATTATAACAGTTCTGGGAGAGTAATGTGACACAGCTGTTGCTAATATTACCATATTACTCCTGAAATATTAAAACGTGGGTTACTATCATATTTTTAATTAGATTTTATTTTTGTTTAGCACTAGGAACAGGTAGCTTGCTATGGCTCCATACTTTACTAACATCTGAGATAGTCGTGCACTGGCTGATATTTGAACCCTTGTAAGAGTTGTGTGATAATATAATTTTTTCTCATATTACCGTAGGTTTGTGTACATTTTGTATACCTCTGGTTATATAATATTGATTTTTCTTATCTGGCAGGTATTGATAATCAATTATATTCTTAACTGGTCGAATTGATTACCGATACTTTTTTTTTTATAATTTAAAGTGATTTTCCCCCCCGACAGTATTTTTTGAATGATTTAAGTTTTTTTTTATATTAAGCATGATTTTAATATTTTCTCATTAATATCTGCTTGCTTAAAGCTGAAAATTTCTTGTTTTACCCAGCGTTCAAGGTACTTTTTAAAGGTAAGGAGAGGGTGCATTTAGATTTAATTTTTAGTTTGGTCTTTGCCTCCATTAGTGTTATACATTGTGGCACCCTCATCCTACCCATGCAATGCCCAGCACATTAACGTTGCTATAAGTGCTTCCAGTCATCAAAAACTTTTGCTAATGAAAAAAAAGGCTCTTCACTTACACTTGAATCTTATTGGATGACCAAATCAGAATATTTCAGCCTCACTCATTAAAATTCTATATTTGGGGTGTCTTTAAATAAACATTTTAATCAGAAAGACTTGTTATCCAATGCAATTTTGAGTAATCTGAAACTAATTGTGTACAGTTACCTATTTCTTAGGTGTAGGAATAGATTTATGCTCATGGTATCTTGTCTTCAGTGATTACATTGTCATTATGATTTTCAAATTTTTTTTTTTAATACACTGGCCATCTCTCACCAAGGCAGGGTGACTCGAAAAAAAAGAAACAAAGGTTCAGATGATCCTCCAAACATGTGCCCCACTTGCATGTTCTGCCACTAAATCTGTGAAGATAAACCTTCTAATATACTTTTTTTTTTTTTTTGCAGTACTTTTTCCTTGATTTAAAAGTGTGCCTTTTCTTCTCTCTTTTGAGGGCACTGAGAAATATTCTTTATCTATTTTTCGTATAGTTTTGTGATGTTATCTAGGTTTTTATGCTTCCTGTTTTGAACAGGCAAAAAAAAATTTGAATTAAAAGATGGTTGCAACATGAAAATGTCATTGTTGGTTTGATTAGAAAAAAAGAGGAATGTAATAACTACTTAAGATAATGAAAAAATTTTTGTATAAAAAGGTAAAGGAAAAAAAACCATTGCAATAGTAGTTTTCTATCTCAAAAATAACAGAAAGGGGATCAAGCCTCTTTCCTCTACACGAATGCAAACCAGGTTTATGCTTTCCATCCGTTCTTATCTATTAAGTGATTCTTGGGCTTTTCCTAACCCAGTCTCATACCAGGCTTCAAGGTTAAAAAGAAGTATTACAGACAAACTATTAAGAAGCACATAGGAAAAAAGGTTGTGTATTATACTGAATTTGTAATAATAGGGGTTTTACTTTGTTTTTCATGAATAAAATTTAAAAGATAAAACAATACTGCCTAGTGAAAAAAAAAAAACCCCCGAGAGGTTTCATTTTCGGGGTCATTTGATAGGTCTCCCAACCTACTCCCACTGTGTTTATAATATGAGAGGTAGAAAGGAAAAGGGGTTTTTAATACCATAAAAAGAAAAGAAAAAGAGGCCACAATTGTAAATTTGAACAAGTGATTCGTAAAGATATTAAAAAATATGCATCGCAAATAGTGTATAATGTCTGTTGTTTTTGTATTATATATTTCCCGGTCCTGGGACGTACAGCCCGTCGGACTGTGAACACTTAATTCTGTATAATAAAATTTCAATGTAATTTTGGGGAATGCACTGTGACATACTGGAAATGTGTATCACAAATATGGGAAATTTCCAATGGAAATGAAATAGCATAGTAGTGAATTCCCCTAAAATGAACCCACATAAAACCCAGGAACATGTAGTGGAGACTGCTGGAAAGGGGTTCAGGGGGGTGGGGGCATAAACCCTCTATTTTAAAGACTTTGGGAAATTCTTTGACAAAATCCACTGGTCCCAAAAGGGTGATCGTTTTGAAGTGTCCGTTATTGTTACGATCATAGCAAAAAATATTCACCCCAAGTCACTGTTTAAGGCCACCTGCTTTAGACAGCTATATGACAAATTAAACACTGAGGGCAGGACACCATGAGCTCAGCTCTGCTCCTGTAACTACAAATAGTTAATCACAAAAACGAAATCACTGTGGTCTGTGTCCTGCCTCCCTCTCTGCAATACGTAGTTTAACTCCAGTTTATTTTTGCCCAAAATATAGTACATAATATAGGCTTTTCTAAGCATATGATTGGTTTAGTACTTTATGATTATAATAATAATTCTAAACATTTATAAAACAAATTAGCCCCATCCCATTACATTAGGAAATTATTTTTTTACTACTTAGGTTTATTATTATGTTTTTATTATTATCATTATAAAAGAAAAACAGAAGTTACCTTACACTTTCTAATACATGAATCATTATAATAAAAATGAGATAAAATATGGAACATTTTAAAACCTCCCTCCCTCTTCTCCCATTTTCCCTGCTTCTCCCCTCCCCTGCCCTTCTCCCAGGTATATACGAAAAAAAATTTTAAGTTCGTACAAAATATTTAAAATATTGTACTTTACTATGCAAGGTTGTTTCATTCCCTTTCCCCATCAACATTGTTTATATGCCTTGGTTTTACAGTCTCCCGCAGCTGTATGATCCATGCGAGTTTTAGTTATAGTCTGCCACAGGATTTATAATATGGTAATACATGTAATAGAATAATGTTCATTGTAATAATGAAAGGAACTGCAAATTATAAAGACTAAAAAGTCACAGTACCGTGGCTGGAACAGTTCATCAAAAAAACTTCTCCTAATTACAGGTTATTGGTGAATTGCAAATTATATAATTATTTATGCAAGGAATTATTTGAAACCCTATTGTCAAAAAAAAATTTCCTATCCACCATTGCTATTTTTTCTTGGTGGTCAGGTGTTCACTAGTCATCCAGGTGCTTCAGTGGAGTTAATAGGGGTCTGCCTGCATCATTTTACTTATACTGTCTTCACTTGTGATATGTGAGCATGGTGCTTTTGTGAGTGTGTTCTCAGAATTTATTTTGAGTGGTATGAGCTCATGTGTTGTTACGTACTCTTGCTGGTAAAGAGTGGTGTAGTTCCTTCATATTTGGGTACCTTTCATTGACAGATTTTTTTTGACTTCTTTCTAAACCATTACTGTACTTACTTTTATCTACATTTTCCCTATGCGATGTGAATTATCTACAAGAATTTCATAAAATCTTGCTTTTCTTTCATCCCTTTGTAGAGCAAGAACAGCAAAGTAAGTACGCACCAGTGTTGATTCTGTAAATGGTAATAGTAGTGTAGTGTAAATAGTGGCTGTGGTTTCTCTCTCTCTCTCTCTCTAGCATTGGTTATCATCAGTAATGGAAATGGGAGATACATGACATGTGTATCCATGTATCCATTTTTTGATGTTTGATTTCTGCACTAATGTCAAGTTTCTACCAGTCAATTATGATGTCAGTAATAAAGCCACAAGAGCAGTACAGTAATTGAAAACTTTTATTTTGTTCCCCTATGTAAAAACTGTGTATTATGTAACTAGGGAAAGGATGGCAAAGGAAGCAATGTTAACCTTAGATGTCCAAATTTCCATTTTGTATGCTCACAAAATGTCTTTAAAATTAGTCAGATTTAAAAAACTTGGAATTAGTCAGACTTTTAAAAAGTTTGGAAGAGCAATTGGTCAGATTTGAAAAAAATATTTGTAATAGCAATTGGAAGAGTTTAAAGAGCTACCTTTTCCCAGAACTACTAGCTGTAAGGGTTCACTGTGCTTGCCTTGCTCCCCTCTTCAAAAGAAAAAGAAAAAGAAAAAAATATAGCTGTGGTTGGTTGGTTAATTGAGCTCCAAGCAGTGAGTTATTAAGGCTGTTTGTAAACAGTTCACCACCAGTCAAGAATACTTAATCAGTGCATATTCACACTGAGAGACATACACCTCTCGGTGCACACATCCTTGCCTAGTTACACCACTGTCCCAAGTGCGTCCCTACTTCTTAAAGCCCATTTCCATCACTGTTTATCATGCTCACGGTTAATATATGCTGTATATAAAATGCCTCTGCTGAATTTCTAAAAACTTTAGAAGTTGTGAAAGTTTATGAACTAGATAAGTAGTGCATGGGTAGATTTTCTGTACTGCTCTAGTAAAAGTACTTGTACAATACTGCATTGATAATTAGCATGAAAGGATTTGTATTGTATTCTTAGCTAGTTTATAGTTTGTTTCATGTAAAATGCAACATTAAACTGTACTGTGAATGATAAATTACTACATTGTATAGGATAATTCACCTGGGTATTGTGTATTTGTCTGAGCTGCAGTAATATTAAATAAACACCTTGTTTGTAATTTTAATGATCAGAACTCCATTGATGATGACTAATAATAATTATTGTTTATTATATAATATCTCTATTAAAATAATTTATATATCTTGTCTAAATATAATAAATATGTAATGAACATATGGCACTGGGAAAGATGTATGCGGCACTCGGTCAGGTTTAAAACCTTGGGTCTGGCTATTAATTGGATAGATGACTATCTAGACTAGCTTTGTCTTTAGTTAAGAGGACTTTTGAAAGCTAAAGACTTCCTGTCTGTGACATAGGTGTACAAATATTGTCATATTTTAACCCTTTGACTGTCGCAACCCCCAATCCTGAGGTGTCTCCTGGTGTTGCAAAATTTAAAAAAAAAAAATTATTTTTTCTTATGAAATGATAGAGAATCTTTTCCCGATTGTAATGACACCAAAAAAACGAAATTTGATGGAAAACTGACGGAATTATGCTCTCGCGAAGTTAGCGACCTCGGCACTGTTTACAAATCGGCGATTTCGCCCACTTTGAGCCCTATTTTCGGCTAATTTCATTGTTCCAGTCGCCCAACCTCATAGCTATTTCTTTAGAACTCCATTTTTTCTATCGATTGAGTACAAGAAACTGCCCATTTACCGATTTCAGCTACCTAATAATGTGGTCAGAAATTTGCAATTTGGCCAATTTCACGAAAACTAAAAAATATGACAATTTCAAAATATGGTCCAGAATGAACAATGCAGACATTCCTGGCTCTAAAATAACATTTTCTTTGTTCATCAGTCATGTCTCCAGGCTCCTCTGATATTACTCTTGCTTTCTATTTTGAATTTTTATTCAAACAAAAAATAGAAGACTTACTATTATGCAGACTACTGCAATACTGTAATAATTGTATAAATAACATCAACCCATTCATGACTGCATATTAGAATGGCTAGTTGGACATTTATTGGACAAT